TGTCTCCTGCAAACTCCGCTCCCCTTTTGCTCCTCTTTTATTTCCTCTGGGAGGGCCATTCATCATCCACCTGTGGTCCAAACTCCCAAGTCAACCCCTGTTCTTTAGCTGTTCCCTTCGTCTGGCAACTCTGCACGTGTGCACATTGGGAATTGGCTCCAGCTGTTCGTCTGCCTCACTGATGTCTGACTCTGAAGGCAGCTGATAACTGGCACACGGCTCTGCCACCCCCCCCCCTTCTGCCTCCAACACAGAGCCTTCATCAGAGACTTCTCTAGATTCCAGGACTGGTCCATGTTTCTCCACAACCTCCTCACTGTCTGAATCTGTTACCAGCTCTGTTGGCCGCTGAAGGGCAACAACAGTATTGGAGAAATTGACTTACAACCATTCATTTAGTGACTGAAATTACAATGACACTGAAAAAGTGACTTATGACCATTTTTAACACTTATGACCATTCCTGTGTCACATGATCAAAATTCAGACACTTTGACAACTGGTTTATATTTATATGGTTACAGTGTCCCAGAGTCATATGATATTGACAAGCAACTGACAAGCAAAGTCAATGGGGAAGCCAGATTCACTTAACAACCATGTTACTAACTTAACAACTGCAGTGATTCACTTAACAACTGTGGCAGGAAAAGTTTTTAAATGGGACAAAAGTCATTTAACAACTGTCTTGCTTAGCAATGGAAATTTTAATCTCAATTGTGGTCATAAGTCAGAGTACTTTTAGAGATACAATGCAAGAGTTCTACAAGTTTTTTTTTGAGGATTTGAGAGTTCAATGTAAACTGAGCTAATACTGCTGTGAATTGGATATAGAGTTTTCACCCTACAGATGCTATTTTAGTTTGCCTTTATGGCCTCTGCATATTCCATATTTATAGGGCAGTTTTCTTCCCAAGTATCAAAGCAAATCAACAAAATTAAGTCTATAAAGCATCCTTCCCACTAGATGTGTCTTCCAGTTTTGTTAGACTACAGATGTTACAATTCTCAGCTACCGAATACTATGCTGGCTGAGAAATAGGAAGTTATGGTCCAAGACATCAGCCTTGGAAGATATGTAAACACTTCCTTGAACTACCTCTTCTTCTGAAAAAGAGGAAAGTAAATGAAACAGAAGTTGACAGTATAATATCACCCAGCTAGGTTTCTATTTATAGTATGTAGAAATGTTATTACAAGAGCAATAGTATTGCAATATTTATCAGTGCTGCATTTATCTTTTTTTCCGGAATTCTGCTTCTAATTAATTGATTTTAGATTATTATTCCTCTATTTTTCCACTTACACCAAGGTATAAGAACAGAAAGTTAACATTTTATTTTATATTTGTATTCCTT